GAAGTGAACGTATCGTAGGATAAACACTTCAGACGGGCCCAGATATAAGCTCATGGCGAAGCTCACCCCAATAGTAGTGAACCTCACTCAAGTGAAGCTTGCACCTCAAGCCGTAGCGAAGCTCGCTCAAGCCTTATGCGAGCTTCACATAAATGAGTCCATGTGGGACACGTCACCCACGTTCGCCCACATTCGTTATAGGCGGACTTCGCCCATAACCGTATCAAGAGCTATTTTGAAGGAAACAACTCACTCCCTACAACTAATCTATAATTAATCGTCCCCCAACCTCTCCATCACTCTCTCTCTCTCTCTCAGCCTACAAGAGGAGGGGAGATTACTCAATTTGGGCATCTAGCACTCTTAATTGTCTTAAACCCTAAGCTTGATCATCTTCAGAGAGTTTGGATTTGGCCAAAAAGCTTCAACAAGCCTTCAAAAATTAACAGGAAGACGCATCATCAGTTGTTCAGACCATCAACGGAGTATAAGATCAACGTTTCCTCGACACACAGAAAAGAACCATGCCATAAAAATTTCCTTGTTTCATTGTAATCTCAAAAGTGGTAATCTTTAGTTTATTATAATTTTTGATTTATTATAATTTTTGAGACCCAAGTATCCTTCTATGAACCCGCTTTAGCCTGTCCCTAACAACAGGCAATGTTCGTCCTAGCAATACTGACATCGCGCGCAACTGTCATGTAACGTTAAATAAAGTCATGCTTAGCATCATGACTTAGTGGAGGACAGGTATGTTTTCTTTGTGATTCTAGATCAATTGTTGTCTCTTCAAAGGCACAGTGTTATTTCTTTATTTTTATTGTTTATTTCCCCCCCACTGAAAACCACTAGCTATCAATGCTGCTTACTAATCAAATGGAAAGCAACCCTTTACCTAACACAGTGTTAGGTGCACCTACGGGACTAAAAAAACTGGCTGGTGGAGACACATTCCGATACTCTTTGCTTCCAAGCTATAATTAATGTACACATAAAACTATTTTTCATCACAATCATATTTTGTTGGTTAAACGGTTGTGATTCATTCACAATTTTAACGCCTGCCGTTCATTTTTACTCGCACTCGACGTAAGGAGGATTATATTAAGGGGAAAAAAAATGCTTACAGCCCCCAAAAGCTAAGGAAACGTGTTTTCCATCCCTAAGACTTTGTCAACGGGTGTTTTATCTCCAAAAATAAAGATTCTGTTCTCTGAGCCCCCAAAACACAAAATCCAAGAGATTAAAATATGTGAAGACCATAATACCCTTCTCTCTCTCTTTCTTTTTTTATTAAAATATGATGAGGATTATTTTATTATTTTCGTTTTCTCTCTCTCTTTATCATGATGTACTGAGATGATAGTTGAAATGATTGATGAGGATTATTTTATTATTTTCGTTTTTTATTATTTTCGTTGTTTGTATTGGGAGATTGTTAAAAGTTACAGGTTAATTGTTAAGGTTACGGATCAATTATTAAGGTTATGAATCCCCCCTCTCTCTTTATCATGATGTTACTTTGATGATATTGAAATGATTAAAGAGGATTATTATTTTATTATTTTCGTTTTTTATTCTTTTCGTATTTTTAGAATATTCGTTGTTAAGGATAATAGTTGGTTGTAAACGTTATGCATTGATTGTTAAGGTTACGGGTTGGTTGTTAAGGTTACGGGTTTGTTGTTAAGGTTATGAGTTTGTTGTGTAGGTTACGGATTTGTTGTTAAGGTTACGAGTTTAATTGTTAATAATATAAGTTTAATTGTTAAGGTTACGTGTTTAATTGTTAAGGTTACGTGTTTAATTGTTACGGTTACGGTTTAATTGTTAAGGTTACGGTTTAATTGTTAAGGTTACGGGTTTAATTGTTAAGGTTACGAGTTTAAATGTTAAGGTTACGAGTTTAATTATTAAGGTTACGAGTTTAATTGTTACGGTTACGGGTTTAATTGTTAAGGTTACGGTTTTAATTGTTAAGGTTACGGGTTTAATTGTTAAGGTTACTTTAATTGTTAAGGTTACGGGTTTAATTGTTAAGGTTACGGTTTAATTGTTAAGGTTACGGTTTAATTACCTTAACAATTAAACCGTAATCTTAACAATTGACCCGTAACCTTAACAATTAAACCCGTAATCGTAACAATTAAATCCGTAACCTTAACAATTAAACTCGTAACCTTAACAATTGACCCGTAACCTTAACAATTAAACCTGTTACCTTAACAATTAACCCGTAACCTTAACAATTAAACCCGTAACCTTAATAATTAAATTCGTAACCTTAACAATTAACCCGTAACATTAACAATTAAACCGTAAGCTTAACAATTAAACCCGTAACCTTAACAATTAAACCCGTAACCTTAACAATTAAACCCATAACCTTAACAATTAAACCGTAACCTTAACAATTAAACCGAAACCTTAACAATTAAACCCGTAACCTTAACAATTAAACACGTAACCTTAACAATTAAACCCGTAACCGTAACAATTAAACCCGTAACCTTAATAATTAAACACGTAACCTTAACAATTAAACCGTAACATTAACAATTAAACCGTTACCTTAACAATTAAACACGTAACCTTAATAATTAAACCCGTAAGCTTAACAATTAAACCCGTAACCTTAACAACAAATCCGTAACCTATACAACAAACCCATAACCTTAACAACAAACCCGTAACCTTACCAACCAACCCGTAACCTTAACAATCAATGCATAACCTTTACAACCAACCATTATCCTTAACAACGAATATTATATATATATATATAGAGAGAGAGAGAGAGAGGATTCATAACCTTAACAATTGATCTGTAACATTAACAATTAACACGTAACTTTAACAATTAACCCGTAACTTTAATAATCTCCCAATACAAACAACAAAAATAATAAAATAATCCTCATCAATCATTTCAACTACCATCTCAGTACATCATGATAAAGAGAGAGAGAAAACAAAAATAATAAAATAATCCTCATCGTATTTTAATAAAAAAAGAAAGAGAGAGAAGGGTATTATGGTCTTCACATATTTTAATCTCTTGGATTTTGTGTTTTGGGGGCTCAGAGAACAGAATCTTTATTTTTAAGGATAAAACACCCGTTGACAAAGTCTTAAGGATGGAAAACACATTTCCTTGGCTTTTGGGGGCTGTAAGTAATTTTCCCTTATATTAAAGATAGTAACGTCTCATTATTGGAGAGCAAAGCAGAGACAAATCAAGTAAGACGGAGACGGGCATCACTCCTAGTATTTTTTTAGGGAAAAATGCTTCCAGCGCCCAAAAGCTAAGGAAACGTGCTTCCCACCCCCAAGACTTTGTCAACGGGTGTTTTACCCCTAAAAATAAATATTCTGTTCTCTGAACCCCCAAAATACAAAACCCAAGACATTAAAATATGTGAAGACCATAATACCCTTCTCTCTCTCTCTTTCTTTTTTTATTAAAATATGATGAGGATTATTTTATTATTTTCGTTTTCTCTCTTTCTTTATCATGAAGTATTGAGATGATAGTTGAAATGATTGATGAGAATTATTTTATTATTTTCATTTTTTATTATTTAGGTTGTTTGTATTGGGAAATTATTAAAGTTACGGGTTAATTGTTAAGGTTATGAATTAATTATTAATGATACGGGTCAATTGTTAAGGTTATGAATCCTCTCTCTCTCCTTTTTTTTATTAAAATATGATGAGGATTATTTTATTATGTTTATTTTTTTCTCTCTTTATCATGATGTACTAAGATGATAGTTGAAATGATTGATGATGATTATTTTATTATTTTCGTTTTTTATTATTTTGGTTGTTTGTATTGGGAGATTGTTAAAGTTACGGATTAATTGTTAAGGTTACGAATTAATTCTTAATGTTACGGGTCAATTGTTAAGGTTATGAATCCTCTCTCTCTCTCTCTCTCTCTCTCTCTCTCTATCATGATGTTGAAATGATTAAACCCGTAACCTTAACAACCAACCCGTAACCTTAACAATCAATGCATAACCTTTACAACAAACCTATAACCTTAACAACAAATCCGTAACCTACACAACAAACCCATAACCTTAACAATAAACCCGTAACCTTAACAACCAATCCGTAACATTAACAATCAATGCATAACCTTTACAACCAACCATTATCCTTAACAACGAATATTCTAAAAATACAAAAAGAATAAAAAACAAAAATAATAAAATAATAATTCTCTTTAATCATTTCAATATCATCAAAGAAACATCATGATAGAGAGAGAGAGAGAGAGAGAGAGAGAGAGAGAGAGAGAGAGAGATGATTCATAACCTTAACACTTGACCCGTAACATTAACAATTAATTCGTAACCTTAACAATTAACCCGTAACTTTAACAATCTCCCAATACAAACAACCAAAATAATAAAAAACGAAAATAATAAAATAATCATCATCAATCATTTTAACTACTATCTTAGTACATCATGATAAAGAGAGAGAGAAAACAAAAATAATAAAATAATCCTCATCATATTTTAACATGATAAAGAGAGAGAGAAAACAAAAATAATAAAATAATGCTCATCATATTTTAATAAAAAAAGAAAGAGAGAGATAAGTGTATTATGGTCTTCACATATTTTAATGTCTTGGGTTTTGTGTTTTGGGGGCTCAGAGAACAGAATCTTTATTTTGGGGGTAAAATACTCGTTGACAAAGTCTTGAGGATGGGAAGCACGTTTCCTTAGCCTTTGGCTCTGGAAGCATTTTTCCCTTTTTTTTTTTAATTGAACTAGTTACAGTAGCAACACAGTGACCTGCACGAAAGCACCAACAGGCAACAGCAACCCCACTCGCGACGACGAGACAAATTAACACGTGTAACCTTGTATCAACCTTTGTCGTCGATCACCTTCCAAAATTTCAGACTTCTAGAAACATGTCCAGATCCATTGCACTCAATTCACCATAAGATCGAAGTGCCCCTTATATATATTACGAGAAGGCACAACACAAGCACACAGAAAGAAAAAAAAGAAAAGAAAGGAAGAAGGAAGAGATGGGCCTACAACTCGAACCCTCCTTCGTCCAAGAAGCAGAGCACCGTCCGGAGCCCACCATCTCCGACGCCGGAGCCATCCCCCTCGTCGACCTCTCCTCTCCTCCACCGACCCTCATCGCGGACATCGAGGCAGCATGCAGGGACTGGGGGTTCTTCCAAGTCGTCAGCCACGGCGTCCCGTTGGAGCTCCTCGAGGGAGTTCAGTCGATGGCGAAGGAGTTCTTCTCTCTTCCCCTCGAGGAGAAGAAAAGGGTCCAGAGGGACGAAGAGAACCCGGTCGGATACTACGACACGGAGCGTACGCAGGAGGTGAGGGATTGGAAGGAGGTGTTCGATTTCACGGTGAAAGAGACCTTCCATATCCCGGTCACGGAGGAGGATGGCAGGGTCAGGTGGCGGGAGGTCAGGAACCAGTGGCCGGAGCATCCTCCGGGGATGAGGTAAAAAGCACTCTGTTACCATCGAAAGAGAACACAGTCTCAAGCGGCACTCATTTCCTGAGGAGGAGACCCATCTTGCTTTTATTCAAAATATAGTATTTAAACCCCTTACGTTAATTTTACCAAATTCTTCTAATTAATGGTGTTCCATACTGTCTTTTTTTTTCTTTCTTCTTTTTAATAAAGAGCCCCTATATTTTCCCCCTCCTCTAATAGGTCCTTAGCTGTTCATGTTAACTTAGGGCTGTTTGGAGCGGTTTTTTGGATCAGTAAAAGGGAGGAAAACTGTCAAAAATGTCAGCTTTCCCCCAAAATTGGCTTCCTCAAAATCGTCTCTTGTAGAGGCGATTTTAGAGAAAACTGCCAAAAAGCTAACATTTTGGCAGCTTCCCCCCTCCTTTTCCCTTCCAAAAAAGGGGAACCAAACAGCCTCTTAATGCGTGGTTTTGTTGTCAGAAATTAAATGACAGTTAAGTACTTCTTAGAAGATGACGTACAGTTGTGGACTGAGGGATAAAATTCAAGGGCTTCGTTGTGAAAAAAAAAGTGGGGGGCTTCGTAGGGATAAAACTTAGGGTTCTTTAGACCATCTTTTCCCTCTTTTTCGAGTGAATAGCATAACGAGTCAGATGTAGATGAATCCAATACCAATTGGAAATGTTGCTTGTCATATCCATATCCCTTTATAAATCATGGATATGGATAATCAAATGTGAAAAATTATTGATTAAGGGGAAACGTGTACACAACAGATACCAATTAAAAAAATATACAAGCTGGATAGGAGGGGAAAAAACAAAGGTTGGAGAAATATAGAGGTCACATAATGCAAGGTGTAATGAGGGTCAATTTAATTACTATGTTTGAGATATCTAATATCTGAAATGTTAATCAAGGTTAGACTTCTAAATCCAAAATTAGGCCGAAACTCATCAATCTAATGTTGTTATTCAATTTTGTGATTGATACATATCTTCCATATATTTGGATACGGACCCAATTATATTTTACTGATATCTATATTTATCCGTGTCCTGTCAAAAATTAAAAAAGATATTTGTATCAGTATCCGAATATGTATTTGTATCTTATCAGATATAGATATGGAGCAATTATCCATGTCCTTTTGCATCGCTGATGTTGACCTTCTTCTTCATAAACCAATCCATCCGGTCACAACACAAAGCTTAGTAAAAGTAAACGGAAAGTTGAATCCATAAAGAGTTAAAGACGCCGTCTATTATCATAGCAAAAAGCTAGACACAAATTTTTTTTGATGCGTATGTATGTAGAATGACATTGTAGCCATTCAATATTTTGAAAGAATTTCACTTAAAAGAGTACAATATCTATGCCTGGTTTTGTTTCTGTTTCATTTTTTGATGATGGTTTGTTTATTATTTTGTTTATCTCCAAATGTGCATAGGTCAGAAATTTGCAGTGAACATAAACATGTCAGAAATAGTAACCTGGTTTCTGTGTGCATAAGTCACTTAAAAGAGTACAATAGAATATGCAAGTTTCTACTACAACCACACTACATGTTTAGTATTCTCTACCATTTGGGTTATATGGGTCGGGTCGGGTAACCCGTTTAATAAACGGGTTGGATCGCATTGACCCATTTATTAAACGGGTCGGGTCAAATTTTATATGGGTCGGATCGGGCCGGGTCGACCTGTTTGCCACCCCTAATAAAGACGCCGTCTATTATCATAGCAAAAAGCTAGACACAAATTTTTATTTTCAACCCGGGTAAAATTCCTATGTTCTATGACTACTCCGGTTCACAAACAATACTGTCAATTTGTTTTCCTTTTGCTATAATGTCCAAAAACTCTGATTAAAAAAGATCATATATACCTATTCCATTGTCACAATTAAGAGGGTTCTACTTTATTTTCCTTCTTTATAGTTACCCTTATTAATTCTGGACGTTCTTATATCAGTAATCAAACTTTTCATAATAGTATCATTGGGTAGTTGGTGTACCAAAATACTATGTGCACTTAGATCAAATTTAAAATACTAGAAGCCGGTGATCAATACAGTGAGCGAGGGGTTCTTGCTGCACCAGCCATCCGCTGGTCGACAAGTGACCTGTAGAAAATATACCCCTATCCTGAGGAAAACTATGGAATGGATATTGTCCATTAGACATGCAACTGGTGGTTCATGGATAGAAAATCCTTGGATCAGTGCCCTATCTCCAAATCTTTCAGTGTTGCGTTGACCCAATGTATAGTTTTTCTCATAGGAGATGATTGTAAGTGATAAACAACTTCTTTCCAATGGTTTCTTCTACTAATTACTTATGAATGATTAACAATCTAACGTTCTGCAGGGAAGCCTGTAAAGAGTACCGAAAAGCCATGGAAGACCTATCGTTTAGACTGCTCGAGCTCATCGCACTGACCTTAAAGCTCCCACCCAACCGATTTAATGAATTCTTCAAAGACACAACCAGCTTCATCCGCCTCAACCACTATCCTCCATGCCCATCTCCTGACCTCGCTTTGGGCGTTGGCCGTCACAAGGACGCAGGAGCCCTGACGGTCCTAGCACAGGATGATGTAGAGGGCCTTGATGTTAAGAGGAAGTCAGATGGAAAGTGGGTTCGTGTCAAACCTATACCAAACTCATACATCATCAACATCGGCGATATGGTTCAGGTATATACAAATATATGGAAATAATGAATATGAAGTTACTAATTTTTTTTTTCAATTTATTACCCCTGAAGTGGACTAGTGGTTGGGGCTTGGGGCATTGGCCTTTTGAGGGCGAGGGTCAATGCGTGTCTATGACATGCCTATCTCCAATTTCTAATTATTAGGCATTACAACACTTCTGCTATTCAACCTGGGCATAGACTGCAAAAGAGGGGCTCTAGTTGCAGGGGCTTAGTTGGCTAGTACTAAGCCAATGTTCCTCGCACCAAAAAGAAGTTATAATTTATTTTGTTGAATGAGCTACTAAGAATTGACATGTGATGAGTTTCATCAAAAGAGATGGATCTGTCACTCCTATCTCTAAAAGAGCTGACAAACTGCATATTATATTTTTGGATTAATTGTAAATGGACCTCCTAGACTTTCATCCAATTGCGGATGGACCCTAAATACTTCTATTGATGTAGATAGGTCCCTGAGTGAAACTTTTTTTTACTGTTTTATCCCCATAAGGCCAATCAGTCAAAAGAAAGAAATTCCTCTTCCTTAGATGGTAAAAGAGGCAAAAAGAAACTTCACTCAGGCGGTCTATCTGCAGTAGTGATAGAACTATAAAGGATCTATCTGCAATTGGGAAATAGTATGGGGGATCTATCAGCAATTAGCCCTATAATTAAATAGTAGTCTTGAGTTCTATTAGTCTTTTCTGAGCTAGTGGATGGTCGTAGGTCTGGAGCAACGATAAGTATGAGAGCCCAGAGCACAGGGTGTCGGTGAATTCAGAGAAGGAGAGATTCTCGATCCCGTTCTTCTTCAACCCTGCATACTACACCAACATAAAACCTTTGGATGATCTGATCACGGAGGAGAATCCTGCAAGGTATGATGAGTTCAACTGGGGAGAGTTCTTTATGGGAAGGAGTAACAGCAACTTCAAGAAGCTGGGAGTTGAAAATACTCAGATTCATCATTTCAAAAAGAAAGTGTGACAATATGGGTACCATATTGTATTGTATGATTGAAATGTTGTATAGTGTGATTAGCGTATGATATTGTAGTGTTTGATCGACTTATGATATTGTGTTGATCGATATTGGTTGTGTGAGCGTCCGTGTAAAATAAACATGTAGCAAGTAGCTATGCGGAAGATATTTTATAATCTCAGATGGATATAGCAGTTGCATATGCTGAATAATGTTGCATGTACGTACCACCATTTTGCTAGCTAGACACAAATGCCACGATGCAAGTCAAAGGAGCTATAACGAATTTTTGCTTAGTTCACTAAAAAGAGGAGGATAGAATGCGGAGAAATCTGCCTTATGATCTTCTTTTTAAATATGCTCGCAATATATACAAACCTTATAAAAATATGTAAGCATTCTCTTTTTCCAACTTTGTATTTGTTAAATTCAAAATATTGAGGAAACCTCACACACTTTCTATTAGGCTCCATGCCAAATATATAAATGTACAAAGGACTACTTCTCCACACATAGTCGATGTGGGACTAAACTAGGATTTAATACACACTATTACTAACATATACTTTAACACTCCCCTTCAAACTCATGATGGATCAACCCGCAAGAGTTTTCTTATGTAAAAGAGATGACGTTGGAGGGTCTAAGATTTAGTGAAGAAATCAACCAACTGCATCTGACAGCTGAGGTAAGGTAAGGAAATACTGTCATTGCTAATGTGGCGACGTGTGAAATAATAGTCAATCTCGATATGCTTGGTGCGCTCATGAAATACAGGATTATTGGCTATTTTAATAACACTAGTTTCGTAACACCAGAGAGGAGTAGGAGCAGTAGAAGACACTCCAATGCTACCGAGTAACCAAGGAAGCTAAACAATTTTGGCAGTAGTGGACACCATTGCCCGAAATTCTACCTCAAAATTAGAGCGAGAAACAACGCTTGGCTTCTTTGCTTTCTAGAAAATTAAAGAATCTCCTAGAAATATATAATAGCCTGTTGTGGAGCGATGATCATTAACATCTTTAGCCCAATCGGCATCATTATAAGCTCGCAACTGAAAATGGGAGGAGGATGAGAAAAGCAGAGATCAACTCAAAGTCCCTCGAAGATAGCGAAGAATGCGAAGAAGAGCTGCATAGTGATCTGTGCGAGGAGCTGAAACAGACTAACCGATGATATGTATTGCATAGGTAATATTAGGTTGACCAATGGTGAGGTAGATCAGACTCCTTACGAGTTGATGGTAGTAGGAAGGATCAGATAAAGGTTCACTATCAGTAGAACGAAGTTTAATAATAAGCTCAAGAGGTGTAGGTGGAATTTGAGCATCTGTCATCCTAGAGTGATCTAAAATATCTATAAGGAATTGCTTTTGTGAGAGAATATATCTTAGGGCGAGTGATCATTCTCAAGCCCCAAAAGTATCGAAAATGTCCAAGATCCTTCATCTCAAATTGTTGATTCAAATATTGTTTGACCTACTGTATATGAGATTTTGAGGGATCTGTGAGAATCATGTCATCCACATATAGAAGAAGGATAGTCCTAGAGGTGTGCGTGAACATAGCAGGATCATTAGAACTAGGAATAAATCTACCACCCTGAATGATGGAGGTAAATCGAGTAACCAAGCGCAATGAGATTGTTTTAGACCATAAAGTGCTTGATGAAGATGACAAACATGTCTAGGTTGATGTGAAAGACCATCTGGCAAACACATGTAAATATGACGAAAAAGAAGAGAAATTCTGGGGAAAAAATCTTCAGTATAGGTCTACGAGATTCAATTTCTGCTTCTCAAGCCTTGGAGGATTCAGTTTCAGCTTCAAGTTTTGATGATGATGATGTAACCTTGAGTTTTGAGACTATGGGATCAACGGGACCACGTGGAGAGAAGAAGAAGAAATCGCTGAGTGATATTCTCAGATCGGATAGCTTTCTTGTTCCTCAGGTTAGTTCTCAGGGATCTGGATCTCAAATCCTTCAAGCTAGGAGTTCCTCTTGCAAAGATGTGATCGATGGAGATCAAAATAATTTGCTCAATGATTCTGGAATCTTGAAATCTGGTTCAAGTGGATCTGGTAAGATTTCTTGGGCTGATAAGGTTGATTTTGATGCTTCTTGTCAGCAAGCAGATCTGATTTCGAGTAGATCTTATAATTCACAAAAAAGTTTGCAGAAAGAGAAATCTGTTCTTGATTCTTCTACTGATGCTTTAAATTCGAATAAGATTAATGCTTCTGCTGCTAAGGCTATGAATTTGAATTCAGTTCTTGAATCTATTTCCTTAGATCTTGATAAGAATAGTGTTGAAAATATAATCAAGTCCCCACTGGAACCTGCTGAGCCAGTTCAGAATAGAACAGATAAGAAATCTTGGTCTAGCCTTTTTGCAGACAATAGGAAATCAGGTTGTGGCATGACCTTGAACTTTAAAACACTTGAGAATAAAGAGTTTGTGGCTTTTAGTGAAGAGGAATGGAATGAAGGTACTTCCAATTGGAAATTTTCTTTAATTGGCCAAGTTTTAGGCTTAAATGTTAAGTTTAAGGCCATGGAAATTTATGTTCAAAAAGTCTGGGATCATTGGGCAGTACCTGAAGTGTGTCTGCTCAAACCAGGATTATTTTTGTTTAAATTCAAGAGTAAAGAGGAAATGGAGGATATCTTGGTGAATGGTCCATGGTTCTTTGGTTCTAGGCCCCTCCTATTGAAAGTATGGTCAAATGATGAAGATATAGAAAAGATAAATGACAATGTTTACCCTCTGTGGATTCAGCTGCCAGGTCTCAGATTAAACTTGTGGAGCTCTAATGCTATAAGTAAGATAGCTAGTCATATTGGGAGGCCAATTACCACTGATAAGCTAACTGCTAACAAGCAAAGATTAGCTTATGCTAGGGTGTTAGTTGAAGTTCATATGCCTTCACCTCTCCTTGATATAATTCCTATTCATGGTCCAAATGGGAAATTTTTTGATCAAAAGGTGATTTATGAACTTAAGCCTAAATGGTGCAATAGTTGCAAACTTGTGGGGCATGATACAGTTTTCTGCAAGAGATACCCCTTATCTAAAAGATGGGTGCAAAAATCAAAACCTGTTAATCAAGCTGTACCTGATAATCTGGGGAATAAATCTGCCTTGAATGAAATACATGTCTCTGGTGGAGTCAATACTGTGCAGGAGCAAAGTTTATCTTCAGGTGGAGGCCATATTGTTGCTGATCATGGAAATATGGGATTTCAAACTGTCTTGAATAGAAAGCATGTTCCTGGAGCAGTTAATGGTGTGCAAATTCAAAATCTATCTCCAGGTGCAGATCACATTGACTCTGTGCATGTTGCACAAGTGCTTGAACAGGTTTCTGGGGCTTCAGTTGAGAGAATACATTCTGGATTGTCAGGCATAGTTCAGAATAGTATGAGGCCCAATAATTTGGATTCTGTGCATGTTCTTGATCAATTTTCTGGAATAACACCTAGAGAGAATAATGCACAGGATCTGGTGCAGGCTGTGCATGTACAAAGTCAGAGACAAAGGTCTTGGAATTCAGTCAAAAGTTCCCAGGTAAATAGAAGTTGGGCAGATATGCATAAATCTGGAATCAAGATAGGTAACACTTTTGATCATCTAAACTACCTGGAGGATAACCCCCAAAATGTGAATGGAGGGGGTGTTCTAAAATTATGAATCTCTCCTTTTGGAATATTAGAGGACTAAACAAGTCCTCTAAGCAACATTTGGTAAAGCTCCACATTCAACGGCATCATATCTCTTTCATGGCTATTATTGAAACAAAAGTTAAGGCTAGCAAAATCCCAAATATAACAAAGAAGATTCAAGGTAACTGGGAGTGGTTTTCAAATGCAGATAACTCTAGCAAAGCCAGAATTATGATCCTATGGGATCCTAATATTTTAGAAGTTCATATTGACAAGTTTTCTGCTTAGCATATTACCTGTTCTGTTAAATCCTTAGATGGTAGAGTTGAATGTTTAGTTTCTTCTATATATGGTCATAATCATCAAGCAACTAGGAAAGCTCTTTGGCAAGACCTTCTTCAAATACAACAAACAGTTGTAAACAAGCCATGGATTCTATCTGGTGATTTCAATGCCATAACCGGGCAAGAAGATAAAATAGGAGGTGCTGCAGTTACTGAAGCTGAAACTCCTGATTTTAGAGAATTTATTGACAAGTGTCATCTATCACATTTGAAGACTGAAGGCTGCCATTACACTTGGAATAACAAATAAGATTCTAATTTCAGGGTTTGGAGTAGATTGGATAGAGCTTTGGTAAATAATTCTTGGATCAATTTGCACAATTCTAGTCATGTTGAGTACCTTCTTCCTAGTTGTTCTGACCACTCCCGATTCTTGGATCAATTTGCACAATTCTAGTCATGTTGAGTACCTTCTTCCTAGTTGTTCTGACCACTCCCCAGCTTTGGTTTCAATCTATGATGATTGTTGAGTACCTTCTTCCTAGTTGTTCTGACCACTCCCCAGCTTTGGTTTCAATCTATGATGATCATGTGTAAGGAAAGAAGCCATTTAAATTTTACAAGATGTGGATTAAACATGACAGTTACCTGCCTATTATTTCTGCTGTTTGGCAAAACACAATTGCAGGTTGTTCTATGTTTTCTGTTACAAGTAAATTGAAGGTACTGAAGACTGCACTAAAGGATTTAAACAAAAGAAGTTTTCACAATATCAGTGAACAGGTGATCAGGGCTAGAATAAATCTGGATAATATACAGAAACTTTTACAGGGGGATCCCCTTAACACTGATCTGATCAAGCAGGAAAAAAGTTGTTTTATTTCATATAACAAACTTTTGGATTGTGAGCTCTCTTTCTATCATCAGAAATCTAGGATTCAGTGGAGTGTGCAAGGAGATAGATGTACAAGCTTCTATCACTCTGCAATTAAAGCTAAAAGACATCTAAATAGAGTTATGGTGCTCTACAATGATGCTGGGTGCAGATTAACTGATGGTGATGAGATTACTCAAGAACTTATATCTTTCTACAAAAAACTCATGGGCACAACTATAAAAATAGCTAGTCCTGTTAGGGATATTATCACAAATGGTCCATGCTTGGATCAAGCTCAAGCTAGGAATCTGTCTTCTCCAATGACCAAAGAGGAAATTAAAAATGCAGTCTTCTCCATGGGTGATGATAAAGC